GCAGCACAGCCCCGCCCATCCTGACCGAGACCACTGGAACTCGAGGAGACGCGCTCACAACGTCTTCACTGAGGAAGCAAGCCCGGAGTGATGACTGAGGTCTGAGGAGGACAAGGCAAGGCTGGAGGGCACCCTTCAGGAGGGAGCCACGTTAGAAAGTGCCGGAAAAGGAGTGCTCAGTGCACATGAGGAGAAGTCAGCCCAGTGAGGTGGTGGGCGTGTGCCAGGAGACCTGGGGCACGTGGGGCTGAGTCACAGGAGAGAGGGCCACAGCAGGTCAGTCCCGCAGGGAAGGGTCGGGCCTGGGTGGATCCGGCGGACGACTGCTGGGACACTTCCTCTCAGGAGTCAAAGCCACTTTCCGTCACCAGGTGCTCATTTGGTGTCACTTGGCATCACTTTACTTATCTGGGAACAAAGTGAACACCATGCCATGAAAAGTAAGAGCCTTCAGAATTTTTTTAATGACATGGCGTGACTTTCACAGACAGCACAGCGAACAGAGCAAGTTAGAAATGTGTATTATGTTAAAAAATGATTTTTTTCTTTAGTTCGTAGTTATCCATAGCCTCGAAACATGTTCTGAGTTTGTCAATGTAATTTCCTTTCGTTCTGAGGTGACTTTTAGCATTAAAATGTTAGGACGAATATGCTACAGGAGTATGACAAAACAGAAAGAATTCAGGAATCCCAAATCATCCTTCTAATCAGTGTGGAGCCCTGAGCAGGCCATTCGATCTGTGTGCCTCAGTTTCCATTCCTGCAAAATGAGGGGAATGAGCCCTAACTCACTGGTTTCTTCCATGGATGATTGTGCCTAGTGTCTTTATATAGTGCTGGTTCTTACCGAAGAGTAAACGTTAATCTAGACCATAGATCCTTTCAGCAACCATTCGGGGCCTGGCGTCCCTTGTCTCTTGATTCACTGACAGAAAATTAACAGAGGAATAAATTACAGATATTCACACATTTTGTTACCAACGACCCCGAGCTGGAGTCAGACAACCTGGAATCTTTTCTCAGCTCTCCCCTTCACGGTCCCCGGGAGCCAGAGAGGTCGCCTCCCCTCCGTCAGCCTCCATTTTATCACCAGCAAAATGTGAGCACTAAGTTCCCTGGAGGTCTTGATATTCTGGAAGCCTGTAACCACAGCAGGGTGGCCCAGTGTCCCTCTTTCACTGATTCCTCTGAGCCTTGGCGTTTGGCAGCTGCCTGTCATCTCCCGTCTGTGCCTGGACAAATGGGCTTTGG